GGGGGGCTTTGGTGAGGGAGCTGTGCAAGCAGCAGGGGAATTTAATAGATGCATTTAACTAGGCTTGTCAAAATTCCATTTTTTTTATTTCAACCGATATCAATGTTTATTTTAAAGCATTTTAAAAGATGTTTATCAATTTAAGTGTTTACAGTTGTGTGAGATTATGGGTCAAGCAGTTTTCTCTATTTTTATTGAAGCACATTTTGATCTATGGGATGTGATGATGGGAGGAGAGAGAATTATTTAATGACTAGTGACATGGAGATTCAAAAAGTGAAAGCTTTATAACACGCATTATCAACATCACACATCACAATACCCAAAGTCAATATCCTTACGTCAACAAGTCATGCCTTTTTTTACTAGTCCATTTGTAAAAAGCCTGATTCAAAAGTCTGAATCACTGGCTTTGGATGCTAAGGTCTCAAAGAGCATTTTTCTTACTGTGCCTATCTGTGAATTTTTATTATTGATGGAAATATTGTTTCTTTGTGTGTGTGTGTGTGTATGTACAGTGAAATTGATGTTTACTGATATTGACCAATAAAAAATTAATTTTTCCAAGTCTAATTTTACTTACTCAGTTTCATTAAAACAGGCCCTTTACATACACATTCACAACAGTTATTAAAGGGCAGTTTGAGTAACAGGAACAACCACCAATGGCTCCCACACTCACCTGCAAGCACAACGTCCACCAGGAGGGACTCACAAGTTACATCATGCCCGAGTCTAAATCCAGCCATTAGCTGGAAGGCTCCTGTTGTACCAAATCTCTGTGCACTGGATATAATGAGAAGCCGGAGTTAGAACCATTGCTGATTAACGCCCAGGAACAAGCTACCAAGGGAAGTGGTGGATTCTCCAGCTCTTGCTGTCTTAAAATCCAGCCTGGAGGCCTTTCTGGAAGATGTGCTTTAGCCAAACAAATTATTCAGCCCAATGGGGGTGACTGGGTGAATTTCTCTGGCCTGTGTTATACAGCAGGTCAGACTAGGTGATCCTTTCTGGCCTTAACATCTATGAAGCCTGCTTTTCTTCTGCTCCAAAACTGAGAGAATGATCAAGTCATCAGGGTGCTAAGACGGGGACTCAGGAACTCTGGGTTTAATTCACAGCTCTGCCACAGACTTCCTGTGTGACCTTGGGCCAGTCACTTAGTCTCTCTTGCCTCAGGTCCCCATGTGAAACATGGCACTGCTGTCCCTCGCACAGAGGTGTTGTAATGATACAGATTGCCAGGTGCTCAGCTACTGCAGTAATGGTGACCAGGTAAGTACCTCAGATAGAAAAACATTCACAAAGTTTAAAGCCATTTTTATTACTGCTAAGGAGCCCCATTTCCCCACAATTAACATGTGGGATTTCCCCATTTGGGTCCCACATTATCCAGGTGGCACATCTCACACTCAGTCACCATGAGGGGGCTGAGATCCCAGCTGTGGGCCTCTGGAAGCCAAGGTAATACAAAGCACACAGACCCAGCAGCACCTGGTTTGCCACACAGGGGATTTCCAGAGCCTGTAATTTAGTTTTGCAAATTGTAACCTAGTCTTGTGCCTGGCCTCAGACCCAGACACAGTCTAGGCATTGTTTTTTCCTGTGTCTGTGCTCACGTGACTCTGAGGTTTCTTTTTGCCCTAACAAAGCTGATACAGTGGAAGGTACACTTTGCATTTCCCAGTGCTTGAAGGCCCAGGACAGCATCACATTAACCCTTGAGAGGCTGCAGGGGACTGGGGGAGCTGACAGCATTTTCTAAGAGGCGGCAGTGGCATGGACAGGGGATCCGGCTATTTAAACAACATTCTATAATGGGTGGTGGAGGAGCGGGAGAGTTCACTCTGCATGGGCATCCAGGGTGATATTTTGTTGGTGTTTTTCTCACCCACCTGTCTACCTTCTATGGGCCTGCCATTGACAATGACTGAAGAATATCTATTTGGATTAGTTTTTGTTGCGTGGAGGGAGGCGGGGGGGAATTGTCCATGGGCTGAGTTTGGCTTAGGCATTGGACAACATGCCCACCAGTTGTTATTACAACACCCACTCCAGGCTAGCCCTTAAATTAACACACACACAAGGGAGAGGTACCGTAAGCAAGCTAGTGGGATGAGCCCAGAAGAGGATTTGTTCATTGTTACATAATACATTCATTAATGATCTGGAGGATGGCGTGGACTGCACCCTCAGCAAGTTTGCAGATGACACTAAACTGGGAAGAGTGGTAGATACAATGGAGAGTCAGGGCCACCCAGAGGATTCAGGGGGCCTGGGACAAAGCAATTTCGGGAGCCCCTTCCATTAAAAAAAAAGATGCAATACTATAGTAACATGTATTTGGAAATGTAAAAAATAACCAGTGAAATACATTCAAAAATTAATTTTAATAATTTGAAAATACATGAAATACATTTAAAAACATTAAATGCTTTAATGGTATGTATACATTTGCAATTACATAATGCTTCTTATGAAATTGTTTTTTTAACAAATTGTTCTGAACATTAATTATACAGCTGCAAATTTTTTCCTCACTTTCATTTTGGCGAACTCATTAATAATAAGAACATAAGAACGGCCGTACCGGGTCAGACCAAAGGTCCATCTAGCCCAGTATCCTGTCTACCGACAATGGCCAATGCCAAGTGCCCCAGAAGGAGTGGACCTAACAGGCAATGATCAAGTGATCTCTCTCCTGCCATCCATCTCCATCCTCTGACAAACAGAGGCTAGGGACACCATTCCTTACCCATCCTGGCTAATAGCCATTAATGGACTTAACCACCATGAATTTATCCAGTTCTCTTTTAAACGCTGTTATTGTCCTAGCCTTCACAACCTGAAGAGAGCATTAAGAAGTGTAAGTGCAGAGGTTATATGTCCATCAACTCTTAAGTTGGAATCTGTTTTTATTTTGTAAAAGATTCTAAGTTCCTCTTTAAGATCTTCTCTCTGAAGGTCTTTTGGATATGCTGTGGCCAAAGTGTCAACAAAATTTTCTATAGAAGATTCATCCACTTTATCTGGCGGACTCAAAATGGGTGAAAATAAATTTGAGACTTCAGCCATTCTTCTCAACAATGGATTTGTTTCTATCAGAGCTAGGAGGTTTTTCATTTTCATGAAGGAATCAGTCTCCTCTCTAAGTGCAAAAAAACGCTTCAAAACATTTCCACAACTCAGCCATCTAACTTGAGTGTGATACGGAAGTTTCCCATATTCACTGTCCATACTTGCTAGAAAAGAAGTGAACTGTCTGTGATTCAGCCCTCGTACACGTATAAAATTAACAGTTTTAACAACTACATCCATAACTTCCTTCATTTGTAGACTTTTACTACACAGGGCTTCTTGGTGCAAAATACAATGTATACTGGTGAAGCTAATTCCTGGTATATTGAGGCCATTCAGTTTGGTCTTCAATAATCCAGCCACACCAACGTTTTCAGAGCACATGGATGGCGCACCGTCCGTAGCCAAAGATACGAGTTTGTTCCATGGCAGCGCAGCTTTTTCAATGCACTCGTCCAGTCCTTGAAATATGTCACGTCCCGTTGTGGTACCCTTCAGTGGCATTAAATCTAGCAATTCTTCTGTTATATTCAAATTGCAATCCATACCCCTGATGAACACTGCACACTGTGTGGTATCTGATACATCTGTACTCTCATCAAGAGCAATTGAAAATGCTTTGAAGTCTTTTGCCATTTAAATCAATTGTTTTTGCACATTATCAGCTAAATCCGTTATCCTGCAGGCAACTGTATTTGCAGACAAGCTTATGCCTTCAAAAACTTTCTTCCTATCAGGACATAAAATTTCGTTGGCCTTCTTAAGACATTCTTTTACAAAGAAGCCTTCCGTAAAAGGTTGTGATGATTTAGCTATCATTTCGCTTATCACAAAACTTGCTCTTACTGAATCTTTGCTAGACTTGTGTAAGCAGAGTCAGGATGAGCTCTACCCTGACATCTGGTGGTGAAT